TATTATCATACAATTCACATATTATAGCATAACATAAACATAATATAAGCATATTGATTCACAGATAATTCACACATATTAGTATATATGACACGTGCAGAACCACAGGCACGTGTGAACATCAAATTTAACCATGCCGATAGTAAGGCCGCTTACCTGGTTAACTTAAGTTGTTGTCACGAATATATCCTTAATGAAAGTTCGATTATGTTCTTTGAAATCCGTAAACCTATTTGAGCCCATGACATCAATTTCAAGTTTGAATTCTATAAAATTATTACTTGGGTCTACTCTTATATTTACTTTTTTCTGTATTTAGTTTATGCTTTTTTATTTAGTTTATGTTTTAATTACAGAATCTTCCTTTTTTTTTTATGGATATTTACTCTGTTGCCTTCTAATTTTGTTCTCATGTATTCCAAATTTATAGTGGATCCCTATTTCCAAATCTTTCCTTATCTTGGTGTTTCCTTTTGTTCACAAATTTTCTTGGTCATTTTATTTTTAATCTATTCATTTGCTACGGATATAAATTTAATCTAATATTACTAATATAACCTGATTTACTAGAATTCGTATAAATGACTGACATTTAGTTTCTAACTCAAAACTAAACAATGAAAATCTAACTATAATTGACTATGATTTCTTAAAAAAAACTAAAAAGAAAACGAAGATTTAATATATACCTTATTGTTCAATTCTATCTTCACTTAAATCTCCCATGAATCTCAACTCCATAAAGGCCATTTTCATTTTTTTTATAATTATTTTTATTTCTTTATTTCTTTATTTATTTCATTATTTATGATTTTTTTTTTTTTTTGGCTATTAGAGCAGAGTTCATCTAGTCAGTTATTTTAACGTTCCCTAATTCCCGAGTATTTTGATTGATTTAGAGCCTTAACTCATGGTTCTTTGAGCTTTTCTTTCATATATCCGAAATTCATACTTGTTTTAGGGTTCATATGGAAATCCAAGCGATTTCTACAAGTATTTCTTAACGAAAAAGTGCAAGGTGGCTATTTACCGCGTTGTCGACGTTCGGGACCTCTGTTCATGATCTTCCGATACCTGAATTACCTTCAATTTTCTTCCACAGACTTCTTATTGTGTCTAGTTTCTGGAACCATAAAGATTTTTTTGAGAACCATTCTAGAATAGGGTTAAATTTTAGAAAAATCGAGGGGTCAAGTTTTTGGTTGACATGGCCGGTTCAATTGAACCGGCCATGTCATCGTCTTCTTCCTCCCGATGGGAAGAAGACATGCGTGATCTTTCGCGCCGCCGTCTGAAACTCGCCCTCCCCAGCTCCGATCACGCCGTTTCTCCCCTCGAGTTCTTCATGACACCTCCGATTTTCAATCTCTTAGGTATCTTGTTCTTAGACGTTTCAGCTCTTGATTCCTTCATCAAAGTTACTATCTTTTTCCTCTTAAGCTAAAGGAATCCTTTATTTGAAGGAAAATAGGTCATAGATAGGAATACGACACTTACCCACAATTTGAACACGAAACGAATTTTCTTCAATTGGAATCGTTTCTGAGGTTATTTCTCTTCGTGGTCTTCAATGAAAACATTCCTTGAAGGTGCAGAAACTTATTGAGATTGTTCTTGCTCGACGAATTTTGTGTATCCTCTGATTTGAATTTTGAGTTTTCCTTGAAGCTCTTTAATGGCGGATTGGATTGGGGGAATGGTTTCTAGACACTTTCCGAACCCTATTCCTTCATAGCACTTGTGGGTAATATTGTTTAGAAACTAGAGGATCAAGTTTGAAAGGAAATGGTTGAGAATTGCTCTCAAATTTGGAAGAAACCCGAGAGTAGGAGACCCAAAATCTAAACGCTTATTGCCTACCATTGGGAGCTCTCCCTTGCTTGACTCTTATTCCAAACTATTGCCCCAACTTCAGAATTTATAGGGAAAGCATAAACCGGCATTGGGAGCTCTAGAATCATCGTGAATTATCGGTTGAATTTTCTAGAAAATTCGTCAGAAATATCTACTCCGATCACAGCCTCACCGACTCACCGACTTTGGTTTTGAATTCTAGCTGTTGGATGTGATGATCCATGAGTTTTCTGAATATATTCAAGTATGGGGGAGATTGAACGGCTGTGAGTCGAGATTTGAAGGATTTTGTGTAGAAGTCAAAGTGAAGGATCGGATTTTTAGCAGAATGACAAATCCGTAATTATCCTTAACTTTAGGGGTATTTTGGTAATTTTCCACTTTTCGAATATTTTATTATTATTTTTCCTCCAAAAATCCATAATTTCCATAAAAATTCTTCATTTCTTCTAGGTCATTTCTCACTAGCATTTTGAAATTCCCTCAAGATAAGGAATTAAAAATTAAAAATGTTACTTAGAAATTGGATAAACGACCTTTTTATCCTTTTCGCTTACCAAACTTCATTCTACGAAAATTTTTATAAAAGTCTTTTTCTTGATAGTATTTATTTATAAGAATCATAAGATGAAAAAACAAATGTCAGCCATTGATTCATAAGATGGTTGGTTCTTTCTCAACTTTATCTTATTCCATAGGGAACTTTATTATTATTAGTATTTTAAATATAAAAATTTAAGAATATTCTAATTTTAATTGATAAGAAATGACTTTGTGGTAATCCAGCATTCATATATAAATTCTTAAATTTGTTTCTGGAAAATATTTTTGTTACACCCGAATAAAGAGGAGGTATATGAATGAAACGAGACACGATTTAAATGAGAGAAATTATAAAGATAAGATGACTAAAAAAAGAGTTACTATTTGT